AAAGCCAGGACCGAGTCTCCGGCAACCTGACAAGACTGAGGCTGCTACCTGCGATGCCTCCAAAGACGGTCTGCAAAAGAGCCACCAAGCCGTTCCGTTCCAGAACCTGCACCACAGCCCCAGAGTGGTCCAGGTCCTGCGCCAGGTGCTGAAGGCACAGAGGAAAGGGGGGCACCGCTGTGAGGAGGGCCGCACTCTACCAGGAGAGACGCAGCACTTGTACGGAGTGTCACATGTGGGGTCCAGCATCACCCCAAAGAAAGAGCAGCCGAGTCAGCGGTGGCCTCGGGATCAGCAGGCGCGTCTCAGCAGAGAAGGTCTCGGACGAAGCTCTTGTACAGTAAACAGGGGCCCCCAGGAATTCTGGGGCGAGAGGAGGCTGCCTGGGGCCCGGGGTGTGCAGGCACGAAGGCAGGATGGAGGCAGGGGACTCCCTGACCTCGTCACAAGGTGACAGTGTGGCCGAATAACGAGAGAGTTCCCAGGCCTTGGTGGCCTTGGATCACCTACAGGAGGAGGTGGGTCAGGAGGGATCTGGGGGGACATCTGGAAACGTCCAGACCTGAGGAGCGGAGACACGGGGAGGCGCAGCGAGGAGGAGAGGCCTGGCAGAGGCGGCCCCCAGGGCAAAGCCCACGCGTCTGCAGGGACAGACAGACAGGCCCCAGGTGCCCGGGAGGGGGCAGGGATGGAGGCTGAGGCAGCCAGGTGGGCACGCGCTGACTCAAAGACGGACTCTCCACTCTAAAACCACTGGAGACCTGGGGCTTCACGTCACACCGTATCTACCTTAGGACTGCAGAGGATGGGATGCGCGACACGGTGCTAAACAGATGAAATATACTGTACCTTTAGGTGATAGTGAGGTTTTAGATAAATTTAAATGCTTTAATCCCTTCGGGAGTTTGGCAAATTGAATACTTAAAGAGGACACACCTGAGAAAGAAAAAAAAAAGAGATTATTAGACTTTTCAAGTTCTCAGTTGTATTTGGCAGTACATGAAGATAAACGTGATTCCCGTGAAGGGACCGTGTTTTCCTGTCTGCAGCCGGAGGCTATGTTCCAGCCATTTACCATGTTCCCCTTTCCCTCTGCCCCACCTGTGGGGTGGACGAAGGGCAGAGTGTTCAGTCCACAAGACGGTATCTGAAACTTGACCATCACCAACATTTTTCTCTGGTCAAATGCGACCCTCTTCTGATAGTCCCATCTAAAATGCAGATCTTCCTGAGAACAGCAATATAACTGTCCCCCTTTTCTATTTAACCTCTGACTTAACGAGCTGATCTCCTCTGGATGAGGAGCTGCATACTACTTAACTATAGTCAAGAATGGAATATTATTAATTACTCAGATAACAGCTTCACTTTTAACACGTGGATTCCTAAACTCAATTGGCTTATGGTTAGCCACCTCAGACGGGGCACGAGCACATTTTAACCATCCCCCCCCCTTTGGTACTGGCGATTGAGCCCAGGGGGGCTCTACTGCTGAGCTCCATCCCCAGCCCCGTTTGAGAGAGGAGCTCACGGAGTTGCTGAGGCTGGACTTGAACTTGTGATTCTCTTGCCTCTGCCTCAGCCGGGATCACAGGCATGCACCACTGCACCCAGCTATGTTTCGGCTTCTTACAGTCAGGTTTTTAACTTGGAATGACAAGAATTTATAGTATTTAAAATTAATGGCTGGAGTGGGAGGACAGACACCAGCTCACTGACTCGAGGGCTGCAATGAAGGCAGAGCGTTTTCTGGGGGAAATGAGTGATAGGTGACTGTGGGCCCTCCCTACGGTCCCTCAAGCAACCCCACTTGCAGGGGGGCTGTCACCTCCCGGGGGCAGCTCTAGGGAGGCTCCTAAAACCCTAACAAGCAAACGCTCCCCTAGACCAAGTCTGAGATTGCAGGCATCAATGGGAGTCACTGCTGGTTGCTGCTCTGTTACACAACCCCGAATTCTCTACAAATCTTACCAGATTTTACGAGAAATAACCACGTGAAAATAGCAAAAGTTGTACATCTGGCTAAGCATGAAGTGTTGGATGTTCCGGAAATCGCTGCCCCTCTCCAGAGTGCCGGGGTGTGGGGGGGAAGGCCTTTAATTAGACAATGCTAAGACGACTATGTCTAAGTCAGGTGGCGCACACTCCTGCCATCCCAGCTGCTCAGAAGACCGAGGCCACACGGGGCAACTGGCCCAGGTCCTGTCTAAAACCTAAAGGGGGTGGAGCTCAGTGGTGGAGCACCTCTGGGTTCAATCCCTAGTCGGCCCCACTAAGAAAGTCACCTCTACGGCCTTCCATGCCGTTTGTTTCTTCTTATTCACTTTGCCTCAGTGGGGACTGAACCAGGACCTTCGCTGCTAACCAGCTCCAAGGAACAGTAAGTCAACCCAGGAGCAGTAAGCGACTTAAAGCTCCCACAGAGAGAAGCAAGACGCCAGACATATACACGCCGTGCTGCCTGGTTCAGGAGTTGGCAAAGCTGGTCTGTCACCGCACAGGGCAGAACACACCTTCTCCTGAGCTGTGGAGGGCAGGGACGGGCAACACGGGGCCAAGCACTGCACGCCCGGGGGGCTGTGGACGCTCCACTGCACCCAGGCAGGGTTCTGCAGGAGTGCGGCCACGCTGACTTTCACTAAGACCACAGTCTGGGTCCTGGAAGGCGTGGTCCCGACAGGCGCTTTACTGGGAGGTGGTGGGAACGTCAGGGGGCCTCATGGGAGGTCTCCAGGTCAGTGGGGACGCGCCCTCAGAGGGAACCTTGGGACCCAGTCTCCTCCTCAGTGCTCCCTGACTCGTGGTGTGAGCAGCGCTCTCGGCCGTCATCTCCACCGTGACGTGCCGCCTCACCACAGGTCCAAAGTCAAAGGGCCATTCAGGCACAGACGGGAACCTCCAGACCTGTGAGCAGAACCCAATCGTTCTCTTTACGAGTTAATTATCTCGGATTTTTTGTTATAGCGATGGAACTCGTGTAACACACTTGGGATTTATGGACGTTTCTGAATGCACATGTACTTCAAACAGAAAAATATTAGATTTCCACTTTTAAATTTGATAGGAGTTATCACCGCCCACTCATCAAATATTTTCTGTTATTTAGCAAAGCATATGCTATAATGATGTTAATAAAAAAAATGATATCCTTAAAGCCACATTCTTCTTTCAATCATTCCAAAAATATTTTTTATATGACCAAAATTATTTCTGCTAAAATCTACCACTAAAACTCAAAA